ATTAGTATTTAATGTAATATAATCTAATTTGATTTAATTTTGTATATATTGCAGTGTGCCGAAATCTTGAATTAACTTTAGTTTTATATTTCCATATGTATTCATGTTAATATTTTTCTTGGTTTGTGTTTTTTATAATTATTTACTTTTTTTAATTTGTGCATATTTTTATATTTCGTAACTATTTAAAATTTAACATTTAATTTAATAGACCTGTATTAGTTGATATTAAATTTGTTTTTTGAATATTTGTAATTCTTTTTTCATAGTCATTAATAGGGTTGTAACAATATACCGGTATGACGGTTTACCATGATTTGAACGTGCACGATTATCATACCATGAACAATTGCATATCAACGGTTTTAACCCTTAAAGACCGAGACAGCCGCCCGCGGCTAAAAATAAGTATTGCTCTTAAATGTTTAATAACTTTTGATCCGCTGATCCGATTCATGCAATTCAAAGATTGGCATAAAGAAGAGAATCTCAGCTTTCCAGTGCTGTATCAGATAACATTCGCGGACTTTCAGAGGCTCCGGAATCAGTGCGGTTACGTCATCAACATTTGACAACGCTGATTTGACAAAGAAACGCTCGTCACTGTGTCTCCGGACAAATCAGACATGATACATTGATGCATTGTCCCTCCTCCATGCCCAGATTGGTTCAAACTCGCTATATCACAACCAATAAGCATAGGTTTCACTTTTGTTTGTGGACCAAGCTTTTTGAACAACACGGAATGAGAGATAGGCATACATTTATGCGGGGCTAAATAAAACGCAAAAAAAAAGTTTTGCATGAAATAATTCTCATACTAAGTACTTTTGCATGCACAGCAGCACAGAAACATGACAAAACAGTGACACAGCAAAGACGAACTGCTGCTCTTGCTGTTTTCAAAAGACGCAAATGAAGATGCAGCTGTTTGTCTGCATTGCAGACAACCATATCCATATCCATAGACAACCATATCCATATCCATAGACAACCATATCCTTGCTGGCACATAAAACCTAAGGATGTTCCATATTGAATCTAGTTTCGTTATGTAACTATTTATAGTATAGTAAATATTTATATCTATTTTTTACTGAGGATTTGCACCATGTTTATTTGGACTTTATTTGGACTTTGACACATTATTTATTATTTTCTTATTTTTATTTGTTCATTGTAAGTGGTGTTGTTTATAGTAACTAAAAATATATTATTTGGAAAAAGTCAAATTTGCTTCACTGTTCTATTATTTTGTAACATACCGTATACCGCGAAACCGTCAAACCGTGGTATTGTTTTAGACGATTATCATACCGTGAAAAATTCATACCGTTACAACCCTAGTCATTAATATTTTAAATGTTCTTATTTATTTATTTATTTTTGATATCATGTTTTTGTTTGTTTATATCTATTATTTGAATATTTATTAATATGATATATATATATATATATATGTGTGTGTGTGTGTGTGTGTGTGTGTGTGTGTGTGTGTATTTTTTTATATATATATATATAATTTTTATAATTTTTTTTGCATTTTAATCTTTGATTATAATAATAATGTTTCTATCAGATCCCGTCGGGTCTGTTCATCCCCAGTATGGCAGTGGGTGCGATTGCGGGCCGTATTGTTGGTATCGCAGTGGAGCAGATGGCGTATCATCATCACGACTGGATCATCTTCAAGAACTGGTGCCGCCCAGGAGCCGATTGCGTCACACCAGGGTTATACGCCATGGTTGGAGCCGCGGCCTGTTTGGGTGAGCAGATCAAATAAATTCTATTGTTATTAATTCATTTATTTTATTTACGTTTATTGCATACATTGTCAGGGTGGGGGGTAACGCATCACAAGAAACGGCAGTTACATAATAATATTTATTGTGTAAGTAATGCAAGAGTGTAGATTTGCTTTTGCTATTGATGAGGAACGAATTTAACCCGCCATTATTTATATATATATATATATATATATATATATATATATAAATACACACAGCCATGCATTTATTTATAGATATATGCATATATATTTAGATTAAACATATAATATATACATTTAAATATCTATGTATGTTTTGTTTGTATTTATGTGTGTGTATTACATATACATGATAAGTACACACAGTAAACATGTCAAAACTTTTATTTTGAATGCGATTAATCATGATAAATCTTTGCCCAGCACTAATTATTCAATATTTTTTATTATTTTAAAATCTAAATAATCATTTAAATTAGATAAATTAATCAATTAATGAAAATAAAAGAGAGGGCGGCACACAGGGTCAGTGGCTTCACAGCAAGAAGGTCACTGGTTCGAGTCCCGGCTGGGTCAGTTGGCATTTCTGTGTGGAGTTTGCATGTTCTCCCCGTGTTGGGTTTCCTCTGTGTGCTCTGGTTTCCCCCACAGTCCAAACACATGCGCAATAGGGGAACTGATTAACTAAATTGGCCGCAGTGTGTGTGTGTGAATAAGTGTGTATGGGTGTTTCCCAGTACTGGGTTGTGACTGTAAGGGCATCTGCTGCATAAAACATGCTGAAATAATTGCTGGTTCATTCTGCTGTGGCGCCCCCTGATAAATAAGCCGAAGGAAAGTGAATGAATGAATATAAAGGAGCAAAGCCTCTGTCCTGCAGGCGGTGTGACCCGTATGACGGTGTCTCTGGTGGTCATCATGTTCGAGCTGACGGGCGGACTCGAGTATATCGTCCCTCTGATGGCGGCGGCGGTCACCAGTAAATGGGTGGCGGACGCGTTTGGGAAGGAGGGGATCTACGAGGCGCACATCCAGCTGAACGGCTACCCGTACCTGGACCAGGACGAGTTCACACACCGCACGCTGGCCACTGACGTGATGCGCCCGCGCCGCAGCGAGCCGCCGCTGTCTGTCCTCACGCAGGACAGCAGCACGCTGGAGGAGGCCGAGGCGCTCATCACACACACCGACTACAACGGCTTCCCGGTGGTGGTGTCCCGCGAGTCTGAGCGACTCATCGGCTTCGTGCAGAGACGAGACCTGATCCTGGCTATCAGTATGACACACACACACTATACACACACTATACACACCTGATCCTGCTCATCAGTACGACACACACACTATACACACACACCTGATCCTGCTCATCAGTACTACACACACAATATACACACACACTATACACACCTGATCCTGCTCATCAGTACTACACACACACTATACACACACTATACACACCTGATCCTGCTCATCAGTACTACACACACACTATACACACACTATACACACCTGATCCTGCTCATCAGTACTACACACACACTATACACACACTATACACACCTGATCCTGCTCATCAGTACTACACACACACTATACACACACTATACACACCTGATCCTGCTCATCAGTACAACACACACACTATACACACACACTATACACACCTGATCCTGCTCATCAGTACTACACACACACTATACACACACACTATACACACCTGATCCTGCTCATCAGTACAACACACACACTATACACACACACTATACACACCTGATCCTGCTCATCAGTACTACACACACACTATACACACACTATACACACCTGATCCTGCTCATCAGTACGACACACACACTATACACACACACTATACACACCTGATCCTGGTCATCAGTACGACACACACACTATACACACACTATACACACACACATACACTACACGTAAACTGCACACACACCTGATCCTGGTCATCAGTACAACACACACACTATACACACCTGATCCTGCTCATCAGTACTACACACACACTATACACACACTATACACACCTGATCCTGCTCATCAGTACGACACACACACTATACCCACACACTATACACACCTGATCCTGCTCATCAGTACTACACACACAATATACACACACACTATACACACCTGATCCTGGTCATCAGTACGACACACACACTATACACACACTATACACACACACATACACTACACGTAAACTGCACACACACCTGATCCAGGCCATCAGTATGACACACACACACTATACATACTATACACACCTGATCCTGGTCATTAGTGCGGCACACACACTATAAACACACTATACACTCACACAAACTCTATACAGACACATACACACACACTATACACACACTATACACACAATACACACCTGATCCTGGTCATCAGTAAGACACACACATTATACACACCTGATCTTGCCCATTAGTACGACACACACACTACACACACACTATACACACCTGATCCTGGTCATCAGTACAACACACACACTATACACACACTGTACACACCTGATCCTGCTCATCAGTACTACACACACACTATACACACACTATACACACCTGATCCTGCTCATCAGTACTACACACACACTATACACACCTGATCCTGCTCATCAGTACTACACACACACTATACACACACTATACACACCTGATCCTTGTCATTAATACGACACACACACTATACACCCCTGATCTTGCCCATTAGTACGACACTCACACTATACACACACTATACACGCCTGATCTTGCCCATTAGTGCGACACACACACTATACACACACACTATACACTCACACAAACTCTATACAGACACATACACACACACTATACACACACTATACACACAATACACACCTGATCCTGGTCATCAGTAAGACACACACATTATACACACCTGATCTTGCCCATTAGTACGACACACACACTACACACACACTATACACACCTGATCCTGGTCATCAGTACAACACACACACTATACACACACTGTACACACCTGATCCTGCTCATCAGTACTACACACACACTATACACACACTATACACACCTGATCCTGCTCATCAGTACTACACACACACTATACACACCTGATCCTGCTCATCAGTACTACACACACACTATACACACACTATACACACCTGATCCTTGTCATTAATACGACACACACACTATACACCCCTGATCTTGCCCATTAGTACGACACACACACTATACACACACATTATACACACCTGATCTTGCCCATTAGTACGACACACACACTACACACACACTATACACACCTGATCCTGGTCATCAGTACAACACACACACTATACACACACTATACACACCTGATCCTGCTCATCAGTACAACACACACACTATACACACACTATACACGCCTGATCTTGCCCATTAGTGCGACACACACACTATACACACACACAATACACCCCTGATCCTGGCCATTAGTACGACACACACACTATACACACACTATACACACCTGATCCTGGCCAATAGTACGGCACACACACTATACACACCTGATCCTGGCTATCAGTATGACACACACACTATACACATCTGATCCTGGCCATCAGTATGAAACACACACTATACACACACTATACACCCTCTAAACACCAAAAAACTCTATACAGACACATACACACACACCATACTCACACACTATATATTTGCACACAATATACTTACACACATTATACACTCACACATTATTATCCTCACACAGCTATGTCCTCTATGTGTGTGCATGTGCAGAGAACGCGCGTCAGAAGCAGGACGGTGTGGTCAGTAACTCAGTGGTGTATTTCACTGAAGACGCTCCTCAGCTTCCAGCATCAAACACTCAGCCCCTGAAGCTCAGACGGATCCTGAATCTGAGCCCGTTCACCGTCACCGACCACACGCCCATGGAGACCGTGGTGGACATCTTCAGGAAACTGGGCCTGCGGCAGTGTCTGGTCACACGCAGCGGGTAAGACCATCACACACACATCCATACACTCACCGGCCACTTTATTAGGTACACCTGATTAGTACCAGGTTGGACCTTTTTTGCCTTCAGAACTGCCTTAATCCTTCACGGCAGAGATTCAACAAGCTACTGGAAATATTCCTCAGAGATTTTGCTCCATATTGTCATGATAGCATCACACAGTTGCTGCAGATTTGTCAGCTGCACATCCATGATGCCAATCTCCCGTTCACCACATCCCAATGAATGATGCACAAAAGGAAAGCCCCACCCCCTACTTAATATTCCATTTCTGTTAGAAGTGCATCAACATACTAAAGTAAAAGTCCTGTTCACGCAGACTTTAAAACTGAATTTGCATCTGATTAGAGATGCGAAAAGCTGACGCCTGATTGGCTCTTTCTCTCTCATCAGACGTTTGCTGGGCATCATCACGAAGAAGGACGTGTTGCGTCACATGGCACACATGATGAACCAGGACCCAGAATCCATCATGTTCAACTAATCCCGTGCACCCTTCAGTCCTGTACACTTGCACACTAACAAGTGCTCACGTGGCCAAAACCAGACCTGTGCTCGCTTTACTGTTGTTGCTTTTTTTATGCCATATTTATATTTTACTGTAAGCCGCTGATCAACACTGTAAACATGTGCAATGAGAACACACTTTACGTACGGTACGTCACTTTAATATATCTGTTTATTACGTGATGTGTCATAACGCAATGCAAGACGTAATTCAGACGACTAATCTACCGTGTGATATTGAGCATTTTACACTGGGTTTATCTGCTCTGTTATTATTTATTAATATTTATAACATTATGAATGTTAGTTTTGATCTTCATGATCTTATGTATTGAATCATGAATATTGTTGTTGTAAAATAAACACCACAGCTCTGTTACGGATATTATTGTTCGCACATTATTCGACGCATAAACCTGAGGGTATGTAATAATGTTAATGCAAAAATCTATTGTTTTACCCATATAAAGGGCACCTATGGTGAAAAATCAACAGTTTGGACAGACATGTGTGTAGGTATAGTGTATAGAGTGGAGGAACTACGACATCACTTTGTAGGCTAATCGGCTGCTAGCATAAAACTGGTTCCCTCGTGAAAATCCCTATAGGATTTTCCCATAGGCTTTTCGAAGATTGCGAATAATAAGCTCTGTGTTCAAACACGGTTCATTACACTTACACGTTTTGTTCAGCCGGATAATCCTCACACGAAAATACAACTTTGAGCACTTTTGGATCTTAAATGCAAACGCAAGACTTGAAAAGCTAACATTAGGCTATAATTGTACTACAGCGCCCTCGGGGCGCTTGTCTGTGACGTCAGCACCACCGTGCTACAGACGACTTATCAAGCTTATTTTTTAGAAATAATGTCCATGACAAAGAGTTAATCTCTCTGTTTATTATATTATAATCCATGGTCTATATTATAAACTAATAAATACGCAAACACGCATAGACCTTTGTGCCTTTTGGATCGTTTTTACGTGGGAAATACGTCTGTTTTGCTTTGCGGTTGTTCTAAAAGTTTTAAAAAATGTGTATGAATGTGCCTATATAGTATCATCATTAGACATATTTAAATAAGTGTATCGCTCGCGCACACAGCCCGCTTACCTTAAACAGACGACAGAAATGAGGCGTGAGGAGAAACAAGTCAATCAAATGCCTGCAAGTTCCATCATGGACACAGAGCAACATTCGATATTCCTATTTTGTCACGAATTACAGCGAAAAACAGCCCATACAGTCACATCTGCTGAACGCTTATGGAGGAGTGTAAATACTGCAGTTAAATGTGTTCAGATGAAGAAAACAAGACGAGAAATCACTTGATCATGTTAAAATGACAGTTAACATGCACGTATTTTTATACATTTATTCTCACGTTTGCATTACTGAGAGTAGGAAAGAAACAGGCTGCGCTGGTGTGCAGTATCTTCATAATATCGTTTAATTAAAATAAATGATCAACAAATTAGTCTGTTTTGACAGCCTTTATAAGTGAAGGAATTATCTACACACAATCTGAATTCCTAATTAAAATAATACTACGAACTATAAAATACTATTCATGAAAATACTTAAATAACAGGCAAATCCAAACGCCCAACACAAGCGAGCTGCGCTCCAGACCAGATCAGCTCGATGACGTATAATGTCCCCGATGCCGCCTGTAGTCCCATTTAGCAACTTGATAGCAACCGTCTTTTTAAAGAAGCATAATCGATTTAAAAGTTGAAGAGTGTGCTGTAACTGATGTGTTTTATGTCGTAGAACAAAACGTGAAAGTATCTTGAGTTGGTGTTCGCCACGGATCTTGTTTAAGCGATTTTACTGAAACCCCTTTCAAAAAACCCATTGACTTTGGGACGAGGGAACCGGAAGTGCTAAAATGCTAACTCGCTTCTGGGTTTTTGCTTACAAATTGACGTCATAGTTCCTCCACTTTATAGACCGTCATATTGGGCTGATATAAACACACCCAGTCCTTTTTTTATTTATTTATTAACATATAAACGGTGGAGCAATTGGAGCGGTTTTCAGATCGACCGCAACTTGACGTAGGAGTGCGGTCCCCCCCGCCCACCAATATTGATTGACAGCTGCATTAACATGTCTCCGTAGTCACGCATATAATCATATCAACAAGACAGGACGAGCGCTAAGCAACCGGGAATAAAAGCTCTGTTCAGTTCGCTAAGATCATCAGTCATCATCAGATGTGATCAAGAGTGAGTTTCACATGTGTAAATGTTTTAAATCAGGGCATGCGTGTAATGGAATACAGCGATTCACGTCATCAGCACAGCCGCGTGTCAAAACGAATATAAAAGAAGACGCTTCAATCCCGGTTTGTGGACGTTAAATTGGGTTTATTTTGTACATTACATAACAGACATCCATACAGCAGTGGAGATTAACCTGTATCATATCACATATGCATGCAAAACGAGGGTAAAGATTAACGCGCTGTCTCTCTCACTGTGTGTGTGTGTGTGTGTGTCTGCGCTATGGGTGTGTGTCCTCACTATGTGTGTGTGCACTTTGTAATGACACTGTGTGTGACTCGTTGTTGCAACTCCACAAAAAATGCATCAAATACTGATTGGTAAAGTTCTTACGTGAGATCCAGGCTCGGATTGGCCTATCGGGAGGACCGGGAGAGTTTGTGGTCCAGTGGTCAGCACGTTAAATTACGACGTCGTCGATCCGTGTTCGATCCTCACCTGAGTAATTATTTTCTTTTTTTCTTTTTCATTATTTAGTCATATAAAACTGTCAGGTTGTTGAGCATTTGAAGTTCTAAAGCAGATCGTGTCATTAGAAACTGAATTGGAAATGACCTTATTTTAATATAGTCAGTCGTGAACTGAGGTGGGCCGGTCTAATGCTTGAAACTCCAGGGCTGAAAAGGAGTCCCACTCCGGCCCTTGTGAGATCTGCTTCCTGACGATTGAGGCATGTTGCTGATAGGCACGTGGGAAGGGGGCGGGGAGAACTAGCCTTAAAGGCACAGTGCAAAAAAAACAGCGACAACCTTTTCCCAGCTGTAATACAGACACTTCAGACAGCTCTAATAAATACTCTGATGGGTGTTTTGAGCTGAAACTTTACAGACACATTCTGGGGACACAAAAGACATATATTAAATATGAAAAAGGGGTAATCTATGTGCTCTTTAAAGTAGGGATGGACTGATCCCGATACTTGGATTGGATATTGGTTTGATACCGCATATTATTGCTGGATCGGCCAGCTGGTACAGATCCAAATCCGATCTTGCGATTGCGCTGTATTCCATGTAAGCCAACAAAAGCCATGCAGGTAGCCTAATATAGGGCTCTAGAAAGTTGTCATGTAGGCTACTATATCCTAAATGTTCTGAAGCCATTCAATAGTTTAATGTGAAGTAGAGATGAATATTCAAGTGCTTAAATTCACATTCAATTCACCACCACCAGTGTGCAGCTCCACTTGGATGATGCTCTGCCCAGGCTCAGCCCTGCTTAGCTTCAGTGAGTAACCAGTCTTGGGCTGCAGGGAGATATGCCTGTATGACTTTTGTGTCATGAGTGCAGTATTTTATTAGATTTAATTCAGAAAACATGTTAATAAAATAGTATATATGTTATATATGGTTTAAAAGAACATAAAAAATATGAATATTAAGTTTAATGTACAACAAAACCTGAAAAAGACACAAGTAACATGATTTATTTGATCATTTTTTACACATTTTATTAGATTTAATTCATAAAACATGTTAAAAAGTCTTAAACTCATGAACTATATTCAGAAAATACAATGAAAATGATAAAAAATGGGGAAAAAACAACAAAATTGAGAACTGTAACACTGACAACATGTGCATATTCATGTATTCAACGCAAAACAATTATAAAACAATATTGAGAGGATGATCTGCTGCTGTTTCTTGATACTGTCACTTTCACGGTGAACAGAGACAAACTCAATCCTGTCAGATCTCCTTTTTCAATTATTATTTGTTTTCATTCTGAAAATGTAGTCCAGCGGACGTTTCTGGAGACCTCGAAATACGTCCCGGGAGGTACGTATGGCTGCATTTCATTTTATTAAGCGAACGCTACGGGGCGGTGTGACGCCGTTCCCTTTCGCGCTTGCCGGCTGACCGCTTACCTCCGTGTGGAGGGCTTTCCCACTGCAGTCAGTTTGTCCGGTCAGCACATTGTGTGCGTCGGCGGACTTCAGATGCAGAGAGGAGGAGTTGACAAAGGCGTCCGGGTTCGAATCCGGGGAAGAGCGGTTCCAGAAACCAGGTAAGACAAAAACAGAATCCAAAAAATAAAGTGAACGAGTTCATAACAGGGTGAGAACGTGGTGAAATCCGAAAAACAGACGAGGGCTTTTCTTTTTCTAGACGGCTTTTCTAAATTGTTGCTCGGGTTTAGGGAAGTGAGCAGGCGGGCGGGTCAATCGGTAAAACTGGTTGGGTTCAGGGAAGAAGGAGGGCGGGTCAGCCGATTGGCCGGTCGCGCAGTCAATCATTCGATCAGTCAGACAGCGGCCTCTAGTGGGTTGACGCGAGAACAGCACGGGCGCGAACGGCACTTGTGAGAGACGCACGAGATACGAAAAAGTGCACACAGCGGTCTCTTGCGGATTCACGAAAAAAAAAAACTGCACAAATACGTTCCTCCCGGGACGTATTTTGCGGTCTCCAGAAATGTCCGCTGGACTACATTTTCAGAATGAGCCTGGGTTGACAGTAACTGTGCGCAATCATGCATTCACAATGGTATGATCCATTATAGGGGTGTTCGAATGCATATTTATTTGTTTGTTATATTTATATTTGGTATTATTTAAAGGTGCTGTATGTAAGTTTGTGCAGATATTTCAGAAAGATGCTCAGTGAGCATTCTTGTTTATTTAATAAACAATGCTGAAGTCAGATATTCTGCTTTGAAAATGTGTCTTTCATGCCGGAACGGCTGTCTTTGTTTTGGTCTTTTAACCCGCCCAATGCCAGATTAGCCAATTATATTTCAGCATCTGGGTTACTGTGGAAAACAGCGTATTTCATTCATTCATTCAGAAAGACATAAGCATGCAGACTCCAAAATGAGACAGATTCAGTTCAACATGAGTTTATTAATTAGCAAATGATATAAATATAACGAATGTAAACATTAGGTGAGCAGGTCACATTGTAACCCCGTGTCCTAACAACACACTTCGTGACGAGATATACAGTGATGGGCAATTTGGCTGTTTGCACCAGACAAAACACGACAGAAATGTAAGCACAGAATAGTGCACTCACTCACCAAATGGTAAGGTTTAAAATCTAATTAATACACATTAACGCCCTTTAACATGATTAAATCTAGATGCTGAAACACTGATATGTGTTTAATTCTTAACTTTATATGCCATCGGTTTATTTTATTTTCCAGATCTGAGGTGAACTGCTGCTGCTTTCAGTAGTATGGCAATAAATATCATGTGAAACGGCACTCAAACTCACATTACTAGTATTTAACACTGAATAAGGCACTTGAGGTTTACCTGAGGCCGTCATAGTTTTCTGTTGTTCACCTGCAAGGCATAAAATATTAATTCGAGGTGTTGGTCAGGACAAAAACTAATTTTAATATAGAGAATATTCCTGCTATTGGGTGCCGTTGCTTTTATTTAGAACATGATTTATATCAGCATTTAGGCTCGATTGTCATGGAGCTTCAGCATCAACACTTGACCGAGGGTGTGTCTGAAGTTGCGATCGCCGATGGGGTATTTGCATAAAGCGATCTGATTGGCTGACGCTACCATTAGCGCTTGAAAAGTTGAGAATATTCCAACTTCTGCAGCGAGCAATGCCTCTGAAGCGGCACTGACGGATCCACAATGCTGTACGGGAAAAGCCTGACGTCACCCATTCAAAGTAAATAGGAAGCGTTGATGCTGATGCCCTGCTCCTGTCCCCAATCTGGCAACCTGCACTTACATTTGTTTTGATCCAGGAGTGCAATACCTAGTTCAACCACTGGGTGTCAAACTTACATACTGCACCTTTAAGGTCTGGCTGAAGTGGTATACAAATATGTACTTAACACCCTTTAAATAATGTATAAATGCACTAATAATGCACCCTTAACTGCCATTATGAATGACCAAGAACCACAGATCCAGCTCAAAATCTACTTTAATCTTCTACTGACGACAAAAAGGAGTTAAGTTGCCTTAAATAATATTTACTTGCACTGAAATTAATAATTCATCAAATGTACTCACTGTGTTAATGCATGTTTTAGCATTTTACCTACGATTAATTAAATTCCTGCATGTATTTAATTTCTGTAAGTGCATTTATAATTACTCCCTTACACCTTAACCCAACCCTCACCACCAAACCTGACCCGTATCCCAGCTCAAGACCACCACAAGTCTTCTGCAATACATTATCAACACATGAAGTACACTGTGTTTATATTTTTAGGTAAGAACTTATTAGTTAAGGTATGAAGTGGGACCTAAAAGTGAGTAACATCTTGGATGACTTGAGGGTGAGTAAACAAACAGGACACTCTCATTATTTACATTAACTTTCCCTTTAATTATGGGGTCAAATAGACAAATAAAATCAGTTAAACCCTGCTCACAACCTGAATACAATGCCAAATAAGAAAAGTGTGTGTGTGTGTGTATAGCATGTGTGTGTGTGTGTGTGTTTTCCTCTACAGTGGGATGGAGAAGATAGCAGGCAGGGATCCCACCGGTGGAGGCCTGTACTTCTCCACTCTCATTAACCTGCGCAGAATATCATCGCGGTCCGCCGGCCAGCTGTACACGTGTGTGTTCTGGAGCCATGCTGGAACGTAACACTGAAAAACAACAACAGGACAGCCGTCTACAGGACAGTCCCACTCAGACCAGATTAACCGGTTAGTGAAAACTAGTCATACAAACCTTTTTGGCCCCCGGGAACAGGATAGGAATGAACCTGTAGTTCCTGCAGCCGTTCTGAATGAACTCGCTCTGCAGCTGATGGAGAAAAACACACACACACACACACACACACGCATGCACTGAATAACAGCTCCGAAACATGAGCAGAAGAGTTCTGATCACATTAGTTTGGTCTTAAACTGCATTTAATAAACTGTGTTTTATTGATCATGCATGTAAATAGCAGAGCGCACTGTACTGATCACTGTGGAAATCAATGCGACAGCACGGTGGCTCAATGGTTAGCACAGTGGCTTCACAGCAAGAAGGTCGCTGGTACGAGTCCCGGCTGGGTCAGTTAGCATTTCTGTGTGGAGTTTGCATGTTCTCCCTGTGTTGGCGTGGGTCTCCTCCGGGCATACCTGCCAACACTCCTGTTTTTCCTGGGAGTTTCCCGTATTTCCTGGCCATCTCCCAGAAAACTCCTGGAATTCCACCCCCCACCCCCCGGCTCCTCAGTGTTTTGATACAGTCCCCAATGTGCAACCATCTCCATACTTGCTCCATGCCTTTCAGTTCGCGCACCCCCCCCCCACTCTTCATTAGCTCGCACATAACCCCCCTTTCCATTCTACCACCCCCCCTCCTTTCTTTGAGCACGCACACCCTCCTCCCACTACCCCCCAATGGTCTAAACACATGCGCTTTTGGGGAATTGATTAACTAAATTGGCAGTAGTGTATGAGTTTGTGTGTAAATGAGTGTGTATGGGGGATTCCCAGTACTGGGTTGTGGCTGGAAGGGCATCTGCTGAGTAAAACCTATGCTGGAATAGTTGGCAGTTCATTCCCCTGTGTTGTCCCCTGATAAATAAGGGACTAAGCTGAATGAAAATGAATGAATGGAGCAGCTATACATTTTATAATAATGAAATAATAATAATAACTGTAATAAAATAAATATAATTAATATAATAGTTATAATTGTAACTATTAAAATATTACATTGCATGTTCATTTGTCTTCTTTATTGTCATGTCATTATTATTTTAGTGCATTGAATATACTGTGCATATAAAAATATGATATTTTATAAAATAATTCTATTATTTATGCTTTTATTTTATTATTTTAATGCACTACCCACTTGTGTTCATGCTCATTTATTCATATTATTTTACTTTATTTTATCAAATTATTATATACTTGTTTTTTATTTAATTATTTTAATGTGTTGCATACTTTGTGCATATCAAAATATTACAATGCATGTTGATTCAATCAAATCACTTTGATTGTCACATCATCAGCAGTACGTGTGCCATGATGAGTGAAAAGCTTAGGAAACAACCAAGATTATTATTCTATAGTTTTGTTATTATTATTATTATTATTATTAATATTATTAATATTTTATGTTTATTATTATTATATTTTATTATTGTTATTATTATTATTATTATTATATTATTATTTGTATATTATTATTATTTATATTAATATTAGTGGTATATTATTTTTATATTATTACTATTATTATTATTATTTATATTATTATTATTATTATATTATTATTATTATTATTATTATTATTATTATATTATATATTTTTTAAATTATTACATTATTATTATTATATTATAATTATTATAATTATTGTATTATTATTATTACATTTTTATTATAATTTTTATTATATTATTATTTTATTAATATTACTACTATTTAACTGCATGAAGTATTTTTTGCATATTAAAATATTACATTCCAGCTTATTTTTCTTCGTTGTCAGATTCTTTTTTTTTATTTTACTTGCACGGTGCCCGGCTGGGTCAGTTGGCATTTCAGTGTGGAGTTTGCATGTTCGGTGCTCCAGTTTCCCCCACAGTCCAAACACATGCTGATGAACCAATTGATGTACTAAGTTGGCCGTAGTGTATGTGTGTGTGTGGGTGTTTCCCAATACTGGCTTGCAGTGTAAAACTTATGCTGGAATAGTTGGTGATTCATTCCGCTGTGGTGTCCTCTGAAATAGAGACTGAGCCAAAGGAAAATGAATGAATGAATGAATAGTAAAGTAACTGTATACATGTAATTGTATTTTGAGCATATTAGAGTACATATAGTGCATCATATTTTAGCAAATGTTACTTTGCGTGCTCATGCTAAATTCTTGGAAACATTCATTCATTCATTTTCTTTTCAGCTTAGTGCCTTTATAAATCTAGGGTTGCCACTGTGGAATGAACCGCCAACTTATCCAGCATATGTTCTACACAGTTGATGCCCTTTCAGCTGCGACACATCACTGGAAAACACCCATACACACACAGTCACACACACACACACACACACACACACACTACGGGCAGTTTAGTTAATCAGTTCCCCTATAGCGCATGTGTTTGGACTGTGGGGAAAACCGGAGCACCAAGAGGAAACCCATGCCAACACAGGGAGAACATGCAAACTCCACACAGAAACGCCAACTGACTCAGCTGGGACTCGAACCAGCGACCTTCTTGCTGTGAGGCTACATTTGAGCAGAATAATCAGACTGATTTTAATGAGCAGTAGTATCATTATTGTTGTGTTTTTCAGACCTGCTTGTGGATGTACACAGTGTTGCTGGTCCTCTCGTCGCTCTCCACGCTGATGTTTCCGCTGCAGATCGTCTCATAATATCTCAGACTGATGATGATGATGATCAGGTAATCTTTCTGCCGGAGAGATGCACAAATAAAACAAGCTGCTGTTATTCCAGCTAAAATTAAACAGATAAGACTTTCTCCAGAAGAAAAAAATAAATATTATAGGAAATACTGAGCAGATTTGCTTGCTCCGTTAAACATCACATGAGATTTCACAAATACACATACAGTTGAAGTCGCAATTATTCGCCCTTCTCTGCATCTTTCTTTTAATATTTCCCAAATTATGTTTAACAGATTCAGGAATTTTCTTGTTCTTATTTGTCTTATTTCAGCTAGAGTAAAATCAGCTTTTCATTGTTTTAAACTCATATTAAGCTCAATATTATTGGCCCCTTCAGCAATATTAGTGTTGGATTGTCTCCAGAACAAACCACTGTTATACAATGACTTGCCTAATTACCCTAACTTTACCCTAATTACCCTAGTGAAGCCTTTACATGTCACTTTAAGCTGAACACTAGTGTCTTGAAGAATATCTACACTGTAAAAAATGGCCGTGATTTCAACGGTAAAATACTGTAAAAATGCTACAGTACAAATCCGTAACCTGGTTAACGGTATGTTTCCTTAATATATACGGCGAATAACTGTAAATTGATTTTCCCAGAATTCCCTGCATGGCACATCACTTTTTATGCACTTTATTGACATTAATATGGATCTTTTTAGCTGTTCCCCCATCAGTTATGTACATTGGAGATTTATGTTACATCTAATGTTGATAAACAATGTTTATTTCATGACTTTAATTTTATGCGTGTTACCATACTGCTGTGTGAATGGCACTGAGCACCTTCTATATGCTGATACTCTTTTCTGCTTGTGGGAGAAGTTGATTGTGATGAGCATTGGCTCATTTTGTAACTTTCTCATCACCACCTGAATTTGGGTGTGCTGATGTGTCTAACTGTAACAAAAGATGTGTAGATGTTGATCATTCAGAATACAGACATATTACGTCTACAAATTAATAAAATACGGTAATTTACTGTAAAAATGAAAAATTGCTTTTACAGTTTGTACCGTGTTTTTAACGGTAAAGTACTGGCAACCACTGCTGCCGGTTTTTTTACCGTAAATTTTACGGATTGATTTTTTACAGTGTAGTCTAATATTATTTACTGTCATCATGGCAAAGATAAAATAAATCAGTTACTAGAGATGAGTTATTAACACTATTATGATTAGAAATGTGCTGAAGAAATCTGCTCTATGTTAAATAGAAATAGGGGACGTCTGAATTATTTGCCGCCCTTTGAATTTTTCTTTCTTTTTGAAATATTTCCCAAATTATGCTTAACAGAGCAATGAAATTTTCACAGTATGTCTGATAATATTTTTTCTTCTGGAGAAAGTCTGATTTGTTTTATTTCGGCTAGAATAAAAGCAGTTATTTATTTTTTAAACACCATTTTAAGGTCAATATTATTAGCCCCTGTACGCTAGATTTTTCCAATAGTCTACAGAACAAACCACTGTTATACAATAACTTGCTCAATTACCCTAACCTGCCTAGTTAACCTAATTACCCTAGTTAAGCCTTTAAATGTCACTTTAAGCTGTATAGAAGTGTCTTGAAGAATATCTAGTCTAATATTATTTACTGTCATCATGACAAAAATAAAATAAATCAGTTATTAGAGATGAGCTATTAACACTGTTATGATTAGAAATGTGTTGACAAAACCTGCTCTACGTTAAATAGAAATTGATGAAAAAATAAACAGGGAGGCGAATAATTCTCACTTCAACTGTATGTATATATAATTATTATTATTATTTTTTCTCACTGTTTTTAAAATGCAAAACTATGATAGCCTCCGTTTACACGCACCTCATTGAGATATCTCTCCATACAGTCAATTTTACTGATGCTGTTGAGCTGCTGCTCGAAAACATCGATCTGCGCACACAGAAAACACACTTTCTGAACACTGGAACATGAAGACCTTCGTGAAATATAAATGTAAATAATCAAGTTTCAAATGAACAATAATCTGCGTATAGCTGAAGAGTTATATCCTTTGGTTTTTAATTATATCATTCCATTGGAAACCGTAACAGCCCAGCTATGAGTGACATTAACCTGTGTCTTCCTGACTACTGGCTGAGCCGAAGTGATGCAAGTGTTACGGGAAGGGTTTCAACAACTCTTCCTTTGTCTTTGGGTGATACTTTCAGGCCAAAGGAACCCCCTTGTTGATAAACTTGTGTGACCAGTGGCTGAGCAAGTTTTTACACCTACCTACCTACTTCATTTGCATGCTTTGTTTAGCCATCTCCACCTAGCCACTTCCCTCCTTCTAAAAACATATAGACTCATTTTAGTCTTGCTTACAGACTTGTGATAAAACTTGCAGACTGCAAACTGGTAAGAGTCTTCAGTAAGCTCTTGCAGACTCGTGAACTTCTTGAGGAAGCTGTATGACTGCAGATTAACCAACACGTCTCAGTAAAGAACTTCTTCTGCTTGTTTGAGTCTCCTGGACTGGGTTCGTTCGTTTGTTCGTTCGTTCGTTCATTCCTTTATTCATTCATTTTCCTTCAGCTTACTCCCTTATTCATTAGGGGTTGCCACATCGGAATGAACCGCTTACTAATCCAGCATATGTTTTATGCTGCGGATGCCCTTGCAGCTGAAACCCAGTACTGGGAAACACCCATACACACTCATTCACACACAAACACACTCATACACTATGGCCAATATGGTTCATCCTGCCGAGCACTCGGAGGAAACCCATGCCAACATTGGAAGAACATGCAAACTTCACACAGAGATACCCAGCTGGGACTCGAACCAGTGAGCTACTCACTGACTCACCTTGTCGGAGTAAATGTAGAGTAAATAGTGAACAAATTGTTATTTTTAGTGTGAACCGTCCCTTTAATAGTGTGTTTTTGCTGTACATGTCTACTTTTACAGTCCTGTTCTTGTTACATTACTGCTCTTGTTTTAAATAAATGTATTATTATTATTATTATTATTACGTGTGTGTCGAAGCCGTTGTTCCTCAACAGAGACACAAACTTGATGATCTCCTTCAGATGCTCTTCACTGTCCGCCTCGTATGTCACAAACACTTTTCCTGCATGCAGAAACACACACACACACACACACACACACACACACGGCGGTCAGAGAAATGAGTGGCTTGTGTGTTAAACTGTAGACAGCAAGTAGAACTCACTCTGTTCCTGTGGCAGGTGTGTGATGCTCTGATTGGCCGCCGGTCTGGAGTTTAATGGTGCATGGGCACTGAAAACACACACACATACATATACACATACACACACACACACACACACAGAGACACACACACACATGGAAAAGCAGACAGATTTTTTTAAATATACAGACAACTGTTTATGATACAAGAAGATTGTAGAATTCTAAATCGATTAATAACTAATATGATGTAATTTTTTCCTTTTGAACACCTTAGATAATTATTGGATTCTTTAATTATTGTTTTAACACTCAGTATTTGTGTATGTAAAATGCCTTCTTGTGATTAAAATACCACATTTCATGCTAGTAAAAACTCTACAGGTCAACAGTACAACATTATTATTATCATCAATAACAACCACATGAATTATTATTACAAGAAATACTTTTAACATATCTAAAATATTTGTTGATATTAGTGTTCAACAGCAGCTAAAAGACTCACTTTTCAGAAAAGTGTGTGTCCACTTGTCTGTACTGCGTCAGTCCTGTAAGATAAAGCAAAAGTATAGATGTAAGAATATAGTATATTATATTATAGGATTTAATATTTACTTTACTTTTTAGTCATGACCTACTGACTTTCTGTACTTCAACACTGAACCAAACTGAATCAACACTGAACCAAACTGAATCAACACTGAACCAAACTGAATCAACACTGAAACAAACTGAATCAACATTGAATCAATCTGAATCAACACTGAACCAAACTGAATCAACACTAAACCAAACTTAATCAACACTGAACCAAACTGAAAAACACTGAATCAAAACTGAACCAAACTGAATCAACACTGAACCGAACTGAAAAACACTGAATCAAAACTGAACCAAACTGAATCAACACTGAACCAAACTGAAAAACACTGAATCAAAACTGAACCAAACTGAATCAACACTGAACCAAACTGAAAAACACTGAATCAAAACTGAACCAAACTGAATCAACACTGAACCAAACTAAAAAACACTGAATCAAAACTGAACCAAACTTAATCAACACTGAACCAAACTGAATCAACATTGAATCAACACTGAACCAAACTTAATCAACACTGAACCAAACTAAATAAACAATGAACCAAACTGAATCAACATTGAATCAATCTGAATCAACACTAAACCAAACTGAAACAACACTGAACAAAACTCAATAAACACTGAATCAAAACTGAACCAAACTTAATCAACACTGAACCAAACTGAATCAACATTGAATCAATCTGAATCAACACTGAACCAAACTGAATCAACACTGAACCAAACTGAATAAACACTGAATCAATACTGAACCAAATCAACACTGAACCAAACTGAATTAACACTGATTTAAATGAACACCGAACTGAACTGAATCAACACTGGACCAAATTGAATCAACACTAAACCAAACTTAATCAACTCCGAACCAAACAGAATTAACACTGAACCAGACAGAATCAACATTGGTGCAAATTAACACTGAACCACACTGAATAAATACTCAATCAAATCAGCTCTGAACTAAATCAACACTGAACAAAATTGAATCAACACTGAACCAAGTTAACACTGAACCAAACTGAATCAACACTGAACCAAACTGAATAAACAAACTGAATCAACACTGAATCAAACTGAATCAACACTGAACCAAACTGAATCAACACTAAACCAAACTGAATGAGCACTGAACCAAACTGAATCAACACTAAACCAAACTGAATGGACACTGAACCAAACTGAATCAACACTAAACCAAACTGAATGGACACTGAACCAAACTGAATCAACACTAAACCAAACTGAATGAACACTGAACCATGACTGACACCTGCTCTGTCAAGCTCCTTTGTGATGATGATGACGGATGGTTAAAAAATGTCTCTCCTGTCCACAGTGGAAGTTACACCCCTGCCAAAAGCTATGTACAAGTTCTCATAAGAGACTGAGTCTAGTGTCTGACCTCTTTTAGTGCACTTTGGACCATTTACACTTTCAGTTTAAGGTCTCAGTAGTTTTACTTGTAACCCTTGTGTGCTGTTACCCATTTAGCCTCTTCCCAAATATTGAACAATACACGAAGGTTAAAGATCAAAGTCACTGAAACACACAGTAACTGTATTATAACTTCACTGTGATCAATGTAATGCGTGCTAAATAACCGCAGTAACACTCTCCGAGGCGTCTCTCACCTGAGGGTCTGTAGATCTGTTGTTGTGGTGCTGGACGGCACTGAGTGCAGCACGGTGGACGCATGTACGTGTCAGGATATGACGGCAGCGGCGGCTGATGATGGTAAAAGTCCCCTGAATGCAAGAATGAGTGCAGAGATCTGGGATGCTCCAGACTCACGAGACTCGGGCTACAGCTGCCAGGCAGAGAGTGAGGCCTGCTGGGAAAAAACGAGCCGCTGTCTGAAAGCGTGTGGTAGAGCGCTGATGGCAGACTTTGAGGAGAAGCCCTCAGCTCGACCCAACTGGGGAACGGCGTCTGATGGGTCAACGATGGAGGCGGATGCTGATGAGAGAAGATGGCATTGGTGCGCTGGTGAACGTTGTGCGTAGGTTGTGGGACGGTTGTGGAATGATTGAGAAGGATGTCTGACTCAAACTCTTGGCTGCTGGTTTCGTCGTTCTCCTCTGGAGAGTTCAGAGATGTGTATTGATCGCTGCTGTGGGCCATGTGGGACAGCTGTCTGAAATAAAGAAGAAACTCATTACAAATGAGGGAAACTATAATGCATGGAGAAAATGCAAAGGTGCCCTGTAAAGAAAATCTGGGTATACCTAGTTGACTAGTTGAATAATAAAGAGATCAGTCTGTGGAAATGGGCATACAGTGAGCCACAGACACCATTGTTTCCTCGTTCTTGTGTAAATGAAGTCAGTGTAAATCCCCGGTGAACATCAGAACACAAAGCAGACTGTTGCGTGACTAACAGTGCATGCTCTTAGCATTTGCATGTACTTTAGGTTGTTTATCTGGACCTGACGAGCATCCATGTCATCAGGATAACACAGACTCATATGTGGTTCTGGGATAATTAATATGCACGCCTCGGGCTGCATTTTGTAAGCTACAACATTTCCTAGTTGCTGTGTTACTATGGAACCAACAGAATCACTACAGCGAATAAATTACTATTGTCGCTGTGTTACCGTGGCAACTATAGAATCACCACAGCAGATGAACTACTATAGACGCTGTGTTACCATGGCAACTGTAGAATCACCACTACAGATTAATTACTAAAGTTGCTGTCACCATGGCAACTATAGAATTAATAAAGCAGTTAAACTACTATAGACGCTGTGTTACCATAGCAACTTTAGAATCATCACAGCAGAAAAATTACTATAGTCGCCGTGTTACCATGGCAACTATAGAATCACCACAGCACATCAACTACTATAGATGCGGATTTACCATGGTAACTTTAGAATCACCACACCAGATAAATTGCTATATTTGCTGTTACCATGGCACCTGTAGAATCACCACAACAGATGAATCACTGTAGTTGCTGTGTTACCATGGCAACTATAGAATCACCACAACAGATTAATTACTATAGTCGCCGTGTTACCATGGCAACAATAGAATCACCACAGCAGATGAACTACTATAGACACTGTGTTACCATGGCAACTATAGAATAACCACAGCACATGAACTACTGTAGATGCTGTTTTACCATGGTAACTTTAGAATCACCACACCAGATTTATTGCCATAGTAGCTGTGTTACTATGGCAACTATAGAATCATCACAGCAGATAAATTGCTATAGTTGCTGTGTTACCATGGCAACTATAAAATCACCACAGCAGATGAATTAACATAGTTGCTGTGTTACCATGGCAACTATAGAATCACCACAACAGATCAATTGAAGTGCTTAACAGTACTGTGGTTTAAAAAGCAGAATGGTTTTTACTAGAATGACTAGAGTATTTTCCATGTGGTGAGAGATGATCAAAGGAACCTTGCTCAAAAGATTAGAGGAACAGAGAAAGTGAAAGTTCTGGAAAAACAGACCTTTAAAAGTCACTTAAAAAAACTTGTTACATCTAAAGAGCGCTATATTATAGATTGTGCTTGTAAAAGATTAAACATATGTTAACTACAGATATCTTCTTCACACACTGACAGAAACAACAGCATGACTTCTGAAAGCTGTCAGTGACCAGGTACGACAGAAAGAGGTCAGCGCTGTTTTCTGTGTAACATCCACCCATACAGCGTCCCTAAATAGGACACACTGCATTATGACTCTTTATCTGTGTGTACCAGAAACCTGCAGCTTGTGCAAAACTTCAGACCACAACTGAGAGCTTCTGCCATGCAAGCACTTACACAGAACATCAACCTTTATTCAATATAGATCACCATTCTGCGTTTCAAAGCTTGACGGGTTGATGAAGTGATGCTTCATCAGTTTTCAATGCAAGTGTATAAAGTCGTTAAAAGTGAGGGAAAAGGAGTAAGTTATTAAACAATGGCAGGAAGAGTCATTTAGAGACGAGCACAGCTTTATCACTGATAATCTGATTCAAATGCTTCCTGTCACTTTACTTATAAAACCAAGAATTGGCATCTGTGCGTGTGTGTGTGTCTATTAAGTTACAAACAGAAAACACTGGATTATTTTAATTAAATCATTTTATTTTAATTTATTTTAATTTAATTAATTTTTAAAATTTAATTGAACTTAATTTAATTCGATTTTTAAATTTAATTTATTTTATATATTTTTCTATTTTTAACTAATTTAGTTTATAATTTAATTTAACTAGATTTTTAAATTAAATTTAATTCATGTATTTTATTTTATATATTTTTATTTTTAATTAATTTATTTTATAATTTAATTTAATATCACTGTCATCCCAACTGCCGTTTTACAAGTTAAAATAAAATATAGTGTCATATACAATATATGTATTGATTTAAAACATCAATTAATTCACACACTCTAAAAATGCTGCGTTGTTTTAACCAAGTGTTTGGTTAAATATGAATCCACCTGATATTGGGTAGGTTTTTCAAGTTAATTTAAATGACACTTTTTAACCCAACGGTTGGGTTTGTCTTCAATTGACCCTACGTGTATTAAAACAACCCAGCATTTTATAAGTGTACTTATTCTTACAAAATTCCATAAATTTGTGGCAACATATACTAATTATGGTATTTATTTATTCATTCATTTTCCCTTTCCCATAGTCCCTTTATTAATCTTTATTAAACTTATCCAGCATTTGTTTTATGCAGCAGATGCCCTTCCAGCTGCAACCCATTACTGGGAAAATTATATTATATTATAAATTATATTAAATTATAATATATATATACTGAAATATATTAATAAGTCAATAATATAATAATATAATTTAATAATA